CTCTTAGAAATGCTTTGAACAACTCTGAACATCAGAGGAGAAAGGCATATAGTTCATCATAACATCGTAATATATATCATACACCCGCTATATTGCAAAATCTACCAGATTGTTCATAACAACAGAAAAAATATCGGGATAACCTGGTTTCTCATGAGACTCCCTTGCTTCAGAGCATAGTGATAAGTCCGCCAGCACGTTCACGTGATTGGATACAAGGTAGTTTGATTGTGACGTCAGAAACACTAGCGATTTCAAACCGCGTTTTTGAATCCGTCTTTAGATCAATGCAGTTTTAAAGACAAAATACTCAGCAATACTCTATCTCTGCCTGCCGAAGTCTCAGCTCCACATTAGCTCCTCACACTTTTGGCTACACCAGACACCCTCTGCCTTTTGACTCTACCTTGGTTCCCTCGTCCCACCGGGTCCCCCTTGGTCAGTCGTCACTCCTCCTCTGCGGATACTCTGCAGTCCGTTCCTCCACCCCTATGACTGCAGCAGGCTCCTCTTTCCCTTCGGGTATGCCTCGATCCTCCGTCACACCGGCATTGCCTCGGGCCTTGGGCAGTCTAGCTTCTCTTCAGACAATCGTTTACACAGGATTGCCTGGGCCTCCTTTGCTAGCGATGTTGCTCATCCCCATTGGCTCTCCGTCTGCACCTTGGGATCCATCGGCTCTGTCTCCGTCGGTCGCCTACCAGTTGATGTCAGCCTCTACGTCACCTTGACTACTCCCTCCCTTGGCTCCACTGTGGGCTATCGTCTCTGGCCTCTGCAGGTCTGTGCCATCAGACGCCCTTCATTATCGCCACTCGTCATCCGTATTCTTAACATCACCCCATCATCTCCTTTCTTTCCTGTATCATCACTTCAGCCACCTCCAAAGCCCCCATGGACACCCCCATGCACATTTTTTGTCTTAAACCACATTAAAACCACCATATAGACATCTAAACAACATTAAAACTTGATTTCCACCACAGGGGTCACCAAGTCACCAATGCTGCATTTATTTGATCAAAATCACCAGTAATACTGTAAAATATTACAATTACAGTTATACGTTTCTATTTTAATTTTTTTTAATATAATGTAATTTATTTTTTGTGATGGCCAAGCTTATTTTTTAGCAGCCATTACTCCAGTCTTCAGTGTCACACTATCCTTTAGAAATCATTTGTTGGTCAAGAAACATTTTTTTTACACATTTATACCAAAAATGTTCTGTACAGGTCATTACCTAACAAATTCAGCATTGGGACTATATTGTCTCTATTTTATTGATTTTAGGCCTGTGCAAATATTACTTGCGATTAATTGCATTCAAAATAAAGGTTTGTGTTTACATAATGTATTTGTGTGTGCTGTGTATAATTATTTTGTATATATAAATACACACACATGCATGTCAACACAAAATGTGTTGTTCATATATAAAATATTTATTTATAAATAATATATATTTTGTGTATATATATATATATATATATATATATATATATATATACAGTATTTTATGTGCAAATAATTCTTAAATATATACATGCATGCATTGCATATGTATTTACATATACAAAATAATTATACACAGCACACACACATATATTCTGTAAACACAAACTTTTATTTCGGATGCGATTAATCGCAATTAATCTTTGCACAGCCCTAAGATTTATATGGAACCCTGCAGACTTTAATTAACGAGTGCTGGCATGTGCATGCACGTCAAATAGATTAGAATGGAAACGCAATAATTCTAACCTACCACCTTCTAAGCACTACATTCTAACCAAACTTCTAAGCACTTAAATATAAGCAACCCCCAATTACAAGTTTACAACAGCACCAGACTTTTAAAAAAAAAAAATGAAAACATACAGATACCGACCCATGACTTCAAAACGATGAAAAAATGTGTGATGAAAATTCAGCTTAGTCTTACAAAAAATATAACATTTATTTAAATAGAAAAACATTATTTTAAATTGTAATAGTATTTCACAATATTACCATGAGCCTCTGAGCTGGACGTTGTCCCTGCTTTCTCTATAGTAAGCCTTGATTAAATCTAAAACACTCACATACGTACAATAACCACAAGCTCTGACCTAGCCGTAAGGAATGAGAGAGCCAGTGATAAGAGCTAATATTAGCTAACATGTGATCGTCCCTTAAACAGCGCCATGCTATGCTTAGTGTACTCTGAGACCATCTGAAGCGATAAAAAGGTCAGTGAGGCCTGCAACAATTTCACTTTCACACTTTTGCTAATGAGAAACAGCCGTTACTCACAAGAAGCTCAGCTGAGCACTAAAACCATCTAGGAGGTTGATGACAATGATGTTCCAGCAACTGTAAATCACAAAGACTACAAACTACATTCACCCAACATTTTTTAAAGTGAAGAAAATACAAAAATAATGACATCATTCAGCTTAACTAGTAAAATTTTATTTTTTATTACCTATTTTGCTAACTATTTTGCTTTTATTACTACTAATTTGCTCATTGTTAGATCATGTTATCCAGCTAATACACTAACTAATGTTTACAAATGAGACCTTATCACCAAATATTATTCATTCATTCATTCATTTATATCTACAACACAAAGTAAAAAAAAAAACAAGTTTGAAAATGAAAAAATTACAAAAATCATCTTGACCTGTATTATATTATTAACAATCATAAAATTACAATAAAACAAGAAAAAAATGTAATCTGCTACTAAATTCTATCTGTATGAAACTCCATGAGAGGCCATATACTTCACAGCTTGGATTGCATCACAATGATGACGTAAACTAATCCATTTTGGTCTGAGTCACATGCCTGACTGCCGCTGATGGCCCTCGTCATGACGCTAACTTGAGATCAACCATTCTGTCTTTGTAGTGAAGTCATCATTGTGGCAACCTGTAGCCTATACAACTAAATGTATCAAGCAATGTTAATGCATCACTGCAGTTCTGCAACCAAATTTTGAGTCTGCAATCAATTGTTTTCCAACAGCATAACTAACAAAGAATGTCATGCATGTACCTAACATACTGCCGAGGCAGCGAATAGTTTCCCATTCCCAAATACATACAGGAGACCGAGCAGGATTGGAGGGACTTCCTTATCCGGCTACTCCATGCCATGATGAAACCTCCCTGAGTAACACACATCTGAATGGGAATGCCTGGAGTCAGAAAACAGCTGGGCTGTGCTTTCTCACTAGAACAGTCTTCTAGAAATACTCCAACAGGAAGGGTTTTCTTTGGTTTTCTTAAGGCTATACATACTCTTGTTTTCACACATTTAGCACCTCTGAAATTCAACACAATCTTCTTACATCCCACACTTAACAGCTGATTTGCTTTCTGCATGCTGAAGTGTGTGTGTGCTTGTTTGGTTAATGTATAACTGTAGACTGCTTCTCATAACTATCAACAGGTGTTTTATTCAGCACATTTGTTAGCCACAGATCATGATGCCAACAAATGTTGATTATTAAGCTCAAATGTGGCACTATGGACCGGAATTTCCAACAAAATGGACTGGCTCTGAATCAGAAAGACGTGAGACTGACCGGCTGGTCACAAGCTCCTCTTCTCATATCGAAATCCTCTGACATTTCTCTTTAAAAAAATTTCTAATTTGTGACAGGTGTTTTGTTTTGCTCTATCCTATGCGCTTATTGCGCTTTAGTCAATAGCCTATGTCATGCCTTGGGTCAGTGGTCTGCCAGTGATAACTACACTGGAAGCCAGTGATTATAGTTTATAAAGTTATAAATATGGATATTTTTTATAAACACATCGCTTCGCTACAGAAGGACTTACCCCCCAAAAGTCGTATGGATTACTTTTATGTTGGATGGATGTGCTTTTTTGGACTTAAAAATCTCAGATGCTACTTACTCCCATTATAAAGCTTGGAAGAGCCAGGGTATTTTATAATGTAACTCCAATTGTGTTTGGCTGAAAGAAGAAAGTCATATACACTTAGGATGGCTTGAGGGTAAATAAACAATTTAATTAAATTATGGGATCATTTTAAACTAAACCCTTTAATAAGCCATAATTGGACATAAACATATGCATAATTAAATAAATTAAATAAATACTCCTATCAAATTACTGCAAGTCTTGATAGTGAACACACACACCTTTTTTCTTAAGATTGATGTATTTATATGAGTACATGAAGTACTGATTAATGGTCTGTAAATATAAAATCAAAACAAAGAATGCATTTGGGTGGGTTACAAACATTCTAGTTAGCATCTCTGTTTAATTTCTGTTTAAATGCGTAAATGTTGGCAGGATACATGTTTTGTCCCATATCTGAACAATACCGAACCTGTTCCTGCATTATTTTTACTACAATAATTTGGTGATACCCAGTCACCAACAATTAAAATGACATGATTCTGAAATATTATCTTCTGACACTAGAAAAGCCATTTTCATTACTACAGACTTGACAGAAGAAACTACAGTAAGTTAATCAATTTATGGCAGAAACATGGGACAATATCAAAAAGAAGGGGGGAGACTTCTTTCAATATTGTTTTAGATGTTGAATAACTTTGTTATACAGTCTTTAAAATTATAGTCCCTATATTGCCTTTGAAAGCTCAAACAAACGCCCTATATTCAATCATTTTGTAAAACACTATAAAGTGCAACAGTTTACGAAAGTGTTTCTCGTGTCTATGAACTACAACATCGCTACAGAGCTTTAACCCCCTAACTAGTAGCCTACAATCATTAACTCTTGCATTTCCCCTGCTATGTTTATGTTTACGTTTACGTTTAGGCAGTAATTTTCTTGAATATAAGCGAAGAGTTAATCTGACGCAGGCCTCGTTTGGATTCCTGAACCCCCCTTTCCGCTTATGGGGTCCCCATTTCTGTGAGCAAGATCCACCCATATTATGTGCTACACACACTCACATCTTTCTTTAAAGGGCCGAAACCCACATAACATTCCGTCATCTCTCCGCTTACCTGGATAAACTGGATAGTTAAAGCTGATTTTCCGACGCCACCACCTCCGACGACCACCAGGCGATATTTCTCCTGCACTGAGCCGTCCTTCCAGCCAGCCATCGGGGACACGCTGCTGCTCTCGCTCCGCTGTCTAAACACACGCACACCGAGCCACTTTACTCTGTGACAGGCCCTCAGATGGAGAATTGCAGTGGAAAAATGCGATACGGCGTTAAAGCGCAGTGTGAACTCAGTGGTAATCCGTACGAGATGAGAAAAGTACGAGCACAGTCTGTGGGAAATGCATTCACTGCTGCCTCAAGTCCATACGCCCTCGTCTGAATCGCTACCAGGCACTGACTGCCTGTGCTGCAAGATGAGGGGAAGATAGGGCTAATCAGTTCAGCCAGTACACGCAGAGACGCTAGGGGGCGCACACTGCTATTCCCAATCCCGGCCTGTGTAACTCGTCAAGTGAATGTATTGATCTATCTCAATTACTAAATATCTATAATTGTGTAGTAAAAGTTTAAGTCTGCCATTGAGAAACCCATATCATGAATATTGTCTATGGTGGTCCTCCTGGGGTATCTTGGTCATTCACTGCCAAGGCTACAAGAGAATGAAGATTCTGTCATCATGATTTACCTGTATGAGTTTCTTTCCTCTGTTGAACACAAAAGAAGATATTTTGAAGAATGTTTTTAGTCAAACAGTTGATTGACCCCATTGACTTTCATTCTATTTTTCCATTTCTATGGACTGTTTGGTCATCCATGTTCTTGAAAAGAACCATGTTCTTGTCTGTGTTCAGCAGAAAAAAAGAAATTCATACTGCTTTCGAACAACTTGTCTTGGTGTGTATATGATTCATCATTTTTAGGTGAACTATGCCTTCAAGTCCAACAAACAAACAAAATCAGAGGCTGGTTTAAGTTTTGCATTGCTTTGTGCTAAAACAATAAATGTACATTTGAATCCTCTAAATCAGTGGTTCTCAGGGCTCAAATTTATTTATACAACATTTTATTTAAACATCATGGTTCCCACAGTCTTAGAAATGCATATTTTGCATATGCAGAATGCAAATGGTTATAAGGAGGGATTTTAAAGGGTGACTTTTAGACATGTATATATATAATATATATATATATATATATATATATAATCAGTCCTTGACACTACTGGAATTATGGAATTAAACTAAATTATTATTATTATGAAAATTGTTTTATTTGATCATTTTAATATAATAACACTGGGGGTGGGGGGTTGTCTTCAAAAAAATTTTTTGACTTCGAATCAAAAAGGCTAAGAACCACTGCTCTGTCACTTTACATGCTATGTCTATTATCCTTATAATGTTGAAATTGAATTATCTTACTAAATGTTGACTCTCTTTTATTGTATGCTATTTGTTTTCTCATAACTGTATTCTCCTAAACGAGCTGTCAAGTTCAAATTTACATTGTGGGAAACTCATGGGGAAATTATTCAAATGATTTTATGTAAATCTGAAGAGGATAACCAGTAACACAGCACCTGTGTGTGTGATAAATATAACAATTAAGTCCATTCTCCACTCTCTTGCAGGGTCTATAATGGAGCTGTTTATTTCCACAGCTGCAGAGATGCTTACTCAGGTTCAGTCCATCTTCGCACAATGACCCTAAAAAAAAAACAGAACAAAAAAACATTGTGAATCAACAGATGAAGAATTTTTACAACATGAGGAAGCATCAGCTGTGAAATGTGAATCCTGTGAATACTACACGCCGAACTCCATGAATACCATTGTTAAAAGGGTCATGACATCAGAAGTCTGATTTTCCTTGATCTTTTGACACATTAAAAGGTCTTTGCACTATTTAAACATCCTGAAAGTCATAGCTTAAAACTTCCTCCTCATTGTAAATAAAGGAACAAGTGGGTGGTTTATTTTTAATGGTGTCCTGGATGGTGTCAGAGGATTTAGTTCGGAGCATTTGATTGCAGATTGTTTTGTAAACTCAGCACAGTTTAAGAGTTCACAATGAAACTTTTGTTGAAAGATGAACTTGATCTGAAGCAAAAAAAAAAAAAAAAAAAGACCATTTCAGACAGAGGGTCATGAATGAGTTTTGAAAATGATACTTTTCCCACACTTATATTTGTTTATCAATTATGTTTTTAATAATAAATAATTTAAAAAATAAGAAGCTTATATAGGATACTGTGATTTGCATACTTTTCTTTTTCACACGCATTGGTACACACACTCTCTTTAGCAATGCATTTACATTTATTCTTTTAGCTGACGCTTTTATCCAAATCGACTTACAAATATATGTCAGAGATCGCACGCCTCATATAGAGGTTAAGTGTCTTGCTCAGGGACACATTTGTTTCACACACTAAAGGCATGTGTCTTATTAACTGCACCATCCTATCAATACCTCAAACACAAACTGTCAGAAAGTTATTATTTGAGTTGAGTTAATCAATTCCCTTTGACTCCTCCTCCCACCCCAGAGGAATTTCAGGAATTTCAATTAACTCGTAATCCAGAACTCTAAGATTCACATGGTCCCACTGCAGTCGCCCAGAACAAAGGAACAACAGGAGTTCATTCCACCTCCCACAGTCCAGGGATAAAAAAATAACCAGTGTGCACATTACATAAAACATCTGAGAATGAGTCTTTTTCCAGCAAGAAATGTCAATATAATCTACTTACACAGTGTAACAGAGCTCATCATTTATTCTGCTTTTATTGAGAGTATAAAATCTCTGGGTGATGTCACCTCAAGAGCTTTTGCCAACCTCACCCTTCTCATTTAAAATACCATTCAAAAGGTTGGAGTTAGTAAAATAAGTGTCTTAAGGATTTATTTGATCAAAAAAAGAGTAATATCGTAAAATAGTATTTTTTATTATTATTATTTGAATATATTTTAACCCCAAAACCATATTCTGGACAAATGTGGGCAAAATAGTTTTGATTTATTTTTAAAAAATACTTCCCTTGATCTAAGTGGTACAAGACTTGGCTACTTTTCCTAAGTTTGCCTCCTGAACACACACAATTTTTTTTTTGACTCAATTCTACAATGTTAAGTGAAAAAACAAACTCCTTAATCTTGTATTTGGGTCAAAAATGGTCACCCATAGAAATGAATGGGAAAAACTGTTATTTAGAGCATTCTAAAATAAGCCTTAATAAGACACCAGGTGACAGCAAAGTCTATTCATCTTTAGGTTTTAGCTCTAAGAACTTATTGGAATGATATTTTAATGTAGTTAAAAATTTAAAAAATACGAAAACATAAAAATAAGCATAATTTACATAGAAGATGTGGTAATTTTTGAAGTAAATAAATTCAAATAATACCCCCAAAATAAAAAAAACACCATAAATGGATAGACAAAACTTTATCGAAGACAGTGATATAGGATTTATAATAAATAAAAATTAGGATCACACCTGAGTCCTCTGTGCTCATTTGTCCACAATTACAGGATTAAGGGCTATATGGGGGCTACAATGTGATTTATTATACAGTGCTGGCAAAGCTGAATTTTCAGCATTACTCCAGTTTTTTAATGTCACAAGAAACATTTTTTATGTACTGCTTTTTTAAAAAAAAAAAAAAGGTCTATTTGATGAATAGAAAGTTCAAAAGACAGCTTTACAGGAAATCTTTTGCCACATTATAAATGTCTTTACTCTCACTATTGATCAATTGAACTCATCCTTTAAAAAAAACAGTACTGACCCAAACATTTGAACAGCAGTGTGCAGAATCACAGTGTTGTATGACATACAGTTGCGAGTGTGATATTGCTTTTATACAACAGTTAATTCAGTATCATGCAAGAGGATAATTATACACATGTAGCTCAAAGGAACAAACACCTCTTAATGCAAAAGTCAAAAATCTCACATTATGACTCGCATCACGGAACATTTTCATTCTTACTGTGCATGATTAAATGTCACCTACTGTGTTTGTTTGTAATTTCAAAACAGAAACCGTAGCCTACGGCTTTGTCATTTTGTGATTCACCACTCAGTTAGTCATTGTAATGAGAAATGTGGCTAGCCAATCAGTGCAGCATTTTCAAAGGGTGCTTGATTAGAAGGCGATACTAAAACATTACTACAATTATACTTACATTTAGGATTTGCCTGATCTATTTAAATGCCTGACGGCGCTATACTACGCACATGGCACCCGTTATCGTTATAACACGCGCTGTGATGGTTAGGTTTAGGTGTGGTGGGGTAGGGTAGGGTAGTCTGATATACGCTAAAGAATTTATGACGCCTTGGGTTCGCGTGAATATTAACAATAAAGGGTGCCATGTGCGTAGTATAGCGCCGTTTTGTCATATAGCGTTGTGACGCTAAAGGATGAGAACGGCCAATACAGTGTACAAGGAGGAGATATAAACCAGTTGAACTGAAGTGCCCATTGTTAAACTCTCCTCTTGGCCTCAAGACACCACGAGCAAATATAACTATTTATTCAAACAGTATTTTAACTGAATATCAAATATAATGGAAAGCTTGGATTATATAGCCTGAATGAAACTGTTGTAAGCAAGGTTTGCCATTTTGAAAGAACTTATTATGCAGTGTTTCTCTTGTTCTACAATCAAATGATCAGACTTCCTTGTATTCATGTATAGAACATGTTGAAATGTTTGTCTCACGTGAGCAAGAGGAGTTACAATATTCATCAAAGTCTCGTTCTAAAAAGGCATTTTCAGGAAAAAAGCTGATGTGTAAAGATGTCAACCATTCAAGCTCCAGCTTTGTGTCACTGCTATAGGGATGGCCTTGAGTGCTTTAATTATGACTTGTGCTCAGAAGAAATGGATTAACAGTTATGTGTTCAGATGTTGCACAAAATTTAAAGCCGTCTGCTTTACATGTTGTGAAAAGAATCTGCAGTACAAGCTGAACCTCTTAATTTACAGTGCTTACTTAGAAATTTATGACCTCATTTTCATTGGCTATGATTTTATTACATGTATAATATAACAATATATAAATCTGGGAAACTCATAAAACTCCAGTAATATCATTTTTATGAGTAATGTTCCTTCTTATAAAGAATAATGGAATTAAATGCATGACTTGCATATACTCACATCAGCGCTTTTTACACCTATCTCTTCCACTCTGCATGAACCTGGAAGCTACTTAGATCTAATGCATCATATACATCAAAAACTGCTTCCACTGCACTTTATGAGACAATGGTGACCAGGTGAATGCAGTGACTACATACACTTCCTTTCAAAAGCCTGGGGTCAGAGAATACTTTCATTCTGCAAGGAGCCATTCAATATATCAAAAAAAGCATTTATGTTCTTACAATAGATTTCTATTT